CGTTTATAAATGGTTATATAAAGAGAATAGACTGTGCATTGAGGGAAATAGGTTTAAAGTTTATATAATGGGTCAACTTAATGAAAATCTAACATGAGGACTGGAGATTCCACAGATTAGCTTCAACTGGAAAACTAGTTATAATTAAATCGATGAGAAGCACTTCGAAGTTTTAGGATAAGCATGCTTTCAATGATGATTATATCTTTTAAACAGTAAAAGTAGAGTATTGTAGGGTACTCTATAGAACATCATCTATGTGAATTCGAACTTGGTTAATACTATGAGAATTTTACTTAGGCGAATTCCTGGTGCACTTATAGAATTTAAGAAGATTCAGGGCCGAGATACTGAACACAATAGAAAATTAAAGTTTGATAAAAGAAATAATGTGTTTGATCTATTGTCAAGACTTACAATAACGGTTGATAATTCTAGATATATTTCTTCACTGATTCACTAAGTGGGTCTTATAGATTTTTAATAAGAAGATTTAAAGCGATATGTCACAGAACGCAAGGGAATGACTTGAGATTTGGCACAATGGGGGAATGCCATGGCACACAATGGAAAAATGAGGTGGACCGATGGCAAATTAGATTTAAGTTTCGACGGTACATGGCGATAAGGGCATCGTCTAATTTGGTGGGAAAGTGACTTGTGTCCCCATGGTCATAGCTGATACGTTCAAGTTGCGATTGGAGAAATCGGGTAGTACAGGCAGTGCACTACGGCTGGATGTAACATTCTGCAGTAGGAGACGCAGGTTGGAAAAATCAGATGGTCCAAGCAGTGCACTGTGTTTGGAGGGAACTATCTTTGGCAGGGAACGTAGCTTGGGAAGACAGGACTATAGCAGGGAATGCAGGCTGGACCAACACAAGCACTATTGCAGGGACGTAAGGTAGGAAAACTCAGGCAGACTGTGCAAGCACTACGATAGAGTACACAGCAGTAACACATGCAGACTGTACAAGCAGAACATTGGCAGCAAATGCAACCAGGCTATGCAGGCAGGATGTACGTTGGGGAGACGTCGGCAAGGATGCAGGGACAAAATTTTAGTTTTTCTAAGGTGAAAACCACTATTGCGAGGGGAGAGTACCTTGGACTGCAGTCAATGATTTTGGATACAAGTGGATGCCAACTTGCCCACTTGTTCAACTTGCATGAAGAAGCCAAGCTAAGTCCAAGTTGACTACTATAAGCTTGATGGAGGAAGTAAAATCCAACTTGATCACTATGATGTAGATATGTCCACTTGCATATGAGTTGCAAAGATTGTCCACTTGCATTGAAAGGGACGTGCCAACTAGCATAGAGTTGGAAAGGGACATGTACATTACAACATGACAACTTGCAAGTGTAGATACATGCAACTTGTAAGGTTGCAAATTCCATCTTGGCTACCTTGTGATCTATAGAGGTGGATGGTAACTTGCAACCAATGAAGACCCTTCGATCAAGATTAATCCTAACCAGTAATGTCAACTTCCCTAGCAAGAGTTCGCCTATAAATAGATGTGTTGGGTCATTTACAAAATCCCATGAATGAATGAAGGGATGAACAAATGGGAGTGTTGGAGAGTTGAGAGAAATTTCCAGGATGGGATTAAAGAGAGATGAGCGATACCTTTGTGGAGAAAATACTTGAGAGTTTGAACATAGTTTTCTTTTACATTTATACAAATAAGTTTTTTCATATCTATGTGTGTGCTTTTTTCCTCATAAAAATTCTTTCTACTTCTCTACCAAAGTTAACATATAATTTAGACTTATTGATTAAATTATTGTTGGGGTTTAAGGTTGACTTAACACTATCTCATGGGGACGAGAGTTGTGAACTGTTAGGGCTGCATGGTACTAGCATAGTTCGGGAGTGATGAAAGTAGGCCCGTGACAAATAGATACCTATCTTGATACATTATTTTCAACACTTCATCATCTTTTTTGATCTTGTCGACTTCTTCCACTCATGTGAGGGATTGCTTAAATTAAATGGCGAATTTTATTGTTTTGAATTGAAAAAAGTTTCTAATTGGTGTGATGATCTATCATGACTTTTCAAATGTAAATTATGCATATAAAAAATTCATGATATTTCAGATTGAATGTGGCTAGTTCAAAAAGGTACATTAAGGAAAATCAATTCCTTTCGATAGGGTGCAATCTAGACCATTAAATGTAAAAAAAAATGTATGATCTAATTGTCCCTATTAGTTTATGTCAAAAGATGTAACCATTTCGAAAAGTCACTTAAAAATCCATAAATATGGACCTCTAATTCCATCTTTTGTACAGCAAATCAATTTAAGTTATAATTGATTTATAATTCTCACTTCTCTTCAAAAATTATGTTCTTTTTATTTTACTAAAATAAAATTATTTTTGAATTATTCTTGAAAATAAAAATTTCGTCCGATTATTTTTGTTCGTATCTATTCCGTCCAGAGAAATATTGTCGATACTTTGATTACACCTATAAGGTTTATACAGTGCAATACCTATTTTAAAAGAAGTATCGTATCTTAGAAGACAGACATTCATTTAAGATGTTAGCTAGCATTAGTGTGAAAGCAAAATCTGCCATAAGGAAATTTACTATATTTTTTCCTTCTTTTGATTCTACTAGTCATTAAATTGACAACAGTAACTCTAGAAAGATTAAGAACCAATATGACCTCGCTTCATCTCATGATGTAGAACTTGAGCGTAAGATCTCTAGCATGATTATGTTTCCTCGGTTGAGATGTAATAGGACCATAGTGAGATGAGGATGATATTGGAGGGTAAGCCCTTATTTTGCATGGGGGCTTACGATTACGAGTACGAGTACGATTACGAGTACGAATACGAGTTCAAGATCATACTTCAAGCTAATATGGTTCACTGTGAATTAACTTAGAGCCTATGTCAATCCTTGATGAGAAGCCCCAAGTGGTATGGTTCGTAGGGTTAGGGTAGCCTCTACAAGGAGATAGGAGGAACACATCAAGCATATGAAGCTGAAGGTCAAGTTCGAGCGCATAAGCAATTTTCACTTCTTCGTTCTTTTAAAAATTACTTTTGATCTTCAGAAAAAAATTCTCGAACACACATTTTAGGTTTGGTTTGGTATAGTGGATCTTAAAAGAATTAGTTGTGCTAGAAAAAATCCAGTACCACAATAATCAATTAAGTGTTTGATGAACTTTTATTTTAGCATTACATCATTTCAAAATAAGCATTGTGCTCGCAACAATTACTAAAATGAACATTGATTATAATGATGTTATTATCATTGATAATATTGTAACAATTAATTTTATTTTTATAACGATGTGTAATTTATTAAATATTTATCCAAGATAGCTACTCATTATCTTTAGTTCAAAACAAAAACAAAAGTATATATAGTGCATTTGATTGTCAATATTTTCTCTGAAAAATGTTATTTATTATTATTCTTTTAATCAAAAGTCCTATTTTTGTGTTGTTTGGTTGATATACTTTTGTCCACATAACCATATTTTCCTTGAAAACAAGAAAAATATTTCTCTTTAGGGAGAGTATGTTTTTTATTTTTCGAGTGATTCACTCTGTCTTTCTCTCTCATCTACCACCTCATTCCCATCTATCTACAAATAAAAAATGGATAAGTATAACATTTTATAAATTGAAAAATAGAATCAATCAAAGATATTTAATTGACAATTTTCATGCAAATAATTTCTAGTTAATTCAATTGCCTAGATTTGATATTTTAATGATGAACATAAAAAGTTATAAGCAGAACATAAGAAAACTATAATTCGAATACTTCTCAAAATAGTTTGTCGATGGTACAAATTCTTTTATCATAAATTTAAATCTAAATACCAGATTCTTTATCACAAATTTAAATGCCAGATTCTTAATCATAAATTTAAATGTACTAATTATTTGAGACTCTAGAAGTGATCACAAAAAATAAAAATAAATAAAAAATAAATCTACTCTTGCTGACAAGAGATATCAACCAAATTTCAAGTCAACAATTATTATTCGGAAAAAGATATATGGCCAATGTGGCCCTAGCCACGTAGCATCTCTTATTATTCACTTCATCGAGCATATTATGTAAACCCCAAAGTTATCCTAATCCATTTCACATTTTCTCATGCCCAAAATTTCTTTCTCCACATCCCCTCAACACAAGAAATAAGAACGGTAGCCCCCCTGGGCATAGGTCAGTGGTGCAAAGGATAGGAGTGAGGTTATCTCACGCCTTGCTGATAGCCGCAGTGTGGGGGTTCGATTCCTAAGACATGGAATTTGACTCATTGTAGGCGCAATGTATAGACAGCTATTGTTCCCTAACCTGTTGAGGCACATCCTGTAATTTACCTCCCTCACAAAGATCTAAGGACGGGACAGTGAAGGCCCTCAAGATTGGAGTTCAACCTTTAAAAAATAAGAATGGTAAAACCACATTTTGTGGCGTAATAATTTGTAAATACATAATCTAAATATTGGCACATCTACTATTGATAGCTAACCATGGATAATTTTATGACTTTCTTCACCCAAATTATGAAAAAGGAAAGATTAGATCTAGACTCCCAACCATTCACTAGCATGGTTTTGGCTTCTTCATCTTCAGAAGTGAATCTCTAGATTCCAGCTTAATTAAATGTGTGAATATTGATCTCTACATGACAAAAATAATCAATGTGAATCTCAATAATTGTATGTGACTTTCCTATTACTTAAAAATCGAACATTACGTGATTTCGTAATTATTCTCTTCAACTTTGAGTCCCATGAAAGTCGTGCAATTTAAGTTCACATTGACAATTTCAATCACGTGATATTAAAATTTGAATTGGCTGAGATCCAATACCACATTAATTCGAAAGGCTAGAAAGTCAAACTTAATTTTCCTAGTAAAAAATCAGAAATAAATTTTCTCTATTTTTCTTTCTCATTTTCACATACCAAACACACCCTTAATTTATTTATAACAATGTTTTGTTTTTCCATATACACTCAACACAAGAAACAAGCCTCTCTTTCATAACCCCACTTTCCCTCGATACCTCCAAAAAGCCTATAACATTTTTCCTTCTTTTCATCACATGACTCTCTTCTCTCTCTCTCTCATATAATTCAATTGATCTTCACGAACGAGAAATAGAGAGAGAATTGATGAATCCATTCATAATCCAAATTCCAAAATCCTCCAAAATGTTCCTCTGACATTCTTATCAGAGGTTGTTTTGTCAATTTCTCCCTCGGATCACTTTTGATTCTCTCTACTGCACTTTCCCTACTGTTTTTGTCCAGTTTCGTCCACCGATCATGCTCCACAGTTGTAATCTACCAGCCCCTCTTCTACCACACAATAACAAACCCAATAATTCTTCATCTTCTTCTGCCATGAATTCCGGAAAACGCGCCACCGTTGACCTTGCCTCCGAAGCCGAGGATTCCGTCAAACGCCGCCGATCCCAGCTCCCTGCTGCCGTGGACCTTTCTGTTTCCGGCGAAAAGGAACATGAGTACGAGGAGGAGCAGTTAGGGGCTTCTATTATTGAACAAGAGGATTCAACTGGGCTTCGCCTTCTGGGTCTGCTTTTACAATGTGCAGAGTGTGTTGCGATGGACAACCTCGACGACGCCGGCCAACTTCTGCCGGAGATAGCTGAGCTTTCTTCTCCCTTCGGCTCATCAGCCCAACGCGTCGGGGCGTATTTTGCCGACGCGTTGTCGTCTCGAATTATCAGCTCCTACTTGGGTACCTACTCGCCTCTCACCACACTCTACAAAACCCACCAACAAAAGCTCCTCAATGCCCTCCAAATCTACAATTCCATCACCCCTTTGATCAAATTTTCACATTTCACAGCCAATCAAGCCATCCAACAGGCATTGGATGGCGTAGATCATGTCCATGTAATCGACCTTGACATCATGCAGGGACTCCAGTGGCCTGGATTGTTTCACATCCTGGCTTCCAGATCCCGGAAAATCAAGTCGATTAGAATTACCGGGCTTGGACAGTCCATGGATCTTCTGAACTCAACTGGTCAAAGATTGGCAGAATTTGCCAGTGCCCTTAACATCCCTTTTCAGTTCCAGCCGCTGGAAGGGAAAATTGGGAGCGTAAAGGATCTTAATCAGCTCGGAATCAAGTTGGGCGAAACTGTAGTTGTTCACTGGATGCACCATTGCCTTTATGACATAACCGGTAGTGATGTGGTAACATTGAGGTTATTGAGTTTGTTGAGGCCGAAATTGATCACGATCGTTGAACAGGATTTGAGTCACGGGGGCAGTTTCCTAGGGAGATTCGTCGAGGCCTTGCATTATTATTCGGCATTGTTCGATGCTTTAGGGGATGGATTGGGTGCAGATAGCATAGAGAGGCATACGGTGGAGCAGCAGTTGTTTGGGTGTGAGATTAGGAACATTGTCGCGGTGGGTGGGCCCAAGCGCACGGGGGAAGTTAAGGTGGAAAGATGGGGGGACGAGTTGACTCGGGTAGGGTTCCGGCCAGTTTCCCTTGCGGGTAACCCAGCGGCCCAAGCTAGCTTGTTATTGGGGATGTTCCCATGGCAAGGGTATACATTAGTGGAGGAGAGTGGATGGTTGAAATTGGGATGGAAGGATTTGTCATTGTTGACTGCCTCGGCTTGGCAATTTTCTGACTAGGTTATTTTTACATCCCCATGTCCTCGATGTGGTGACATGAGGTGAAAAAAGGAAAGAGAGGGATGAGGTTTCTATTTATCACTTTATTGTGATATATCATGATGATCCGTTGTTGAGTTAGTCCGTGCCTAAAAAGGGCCTATAATGGGATCTAGAAATGACATCCGAAGTGAAGTTCTCTTGTTCACTTTTCTTTTCCTCTCGAATACAAATTATGATACGTTTTATTTGTTTATTTTGATATGTTATTCGTTTGTGGAATAAGTAGAAATGATTTGAAAACTCATCATCATTGGCTTTTAGGCTTAGATTTCAAGTCATTAGGCACATAAATCAATCATATCTCATATTATATATCCAAATTAAAAGGATTAAAACACCACTCAAGGGTTACGATAGATTTAGATAAAATTGCATATAACATTTCACAAATTTTGTTCCACCCAATATACCATACAAAATGTTGGCAATGGAAATCGGTTAACATCAAGTCTACTATCTAAAAGATTATCGAAGTAGATTCTACTGAAAACGTAAAGAACACAAGGGAGTATGCTTGGCCTTCCACAGAAAGATGGGGAAAAGATGAGTACAATGCCAAAGATTCTGAATAAAAAAGGATTTCAACTTGGACTTTTAAGTTTAGTTTTCTTGACCGTATAACAAAAGGGAATAATGTACGGGAAAGTTTCATCTTTATGTCACTAGATTTAAAAATATACTAAAATTTCTTACTTTTACTAATGATGCTAAAAAAGTCACTTTTTGGTTGAAATGTCCAATATATCGTAAATGATACTTTTTGGAGCATTTAATGCTCATTATGCTTGATTTGAATGCTCGTTAATGCTATGATACGATGATTTAATTTGTGTATTATAAACATTGGGTAATATGAATTTTTTAATCAAAAAAAGAAAGAGAGAGATTTTGAAAAATGATCATAAACATATTTCTTCTACCATTAACAAACTCTAATTTTTCTTACCATCTCCTCTATTCCTTTATCAAGAAAAAATTACTATTGGATTTATCGTCTATTTTAAGAGGTTAGCATGCTTGAAATTGTTTATATTTTTATCTTTTAACTTACTATTTTTGAAATGTTAAATACAATATGGTCATATCTATTTGAAATTATTATTCATTTATTTGTTTGGTTTTTAAATCTTTTCGAATAAAGCTACCAATATCCTCTATAAGATATTGTGATAGATTTCATATTTAATGAAGCATCGAGTTATTTATTTGTGAAGATATAGTCATAATGTAGTTAAGAATTGATGATCACCATTAATATTTTGAATAATTTATTCCAATCAATTCCAATAAATGGGTTAATGGATTGTCTCTTTAATGATTCACTGTGTAAATTAGTTGAGATGATTTCGTCATTACTAGTACAATATTGATAACCACACTTAATGATATGAAGAATTTGTTCTAATCACACACACACACACACATTACATTCTCCCATTCAGTTTCGATAATTCAAATGTCGAATTCGACATTTCGAAACAATCGGGATGGATATCTCAATTGTCGAATTCGACATTTGGAAATTGTCGAGATAAACATTTCAAATACCGATTTCATTTGTTTGCCATTGTATGGATTTAAATATTCGAATGTGTAATTTTCATGCTATTAAATGCAGAGCTATTGATTGTGAAGAATTATTATCATTGCAATCTCAACTTTTCAAGTATGAGTAATCATTTAAAATTCATCGTGTCGCATAGAGAAAAGTTTGTTTATATAGATAACGAATGGAAGTGGAAAGGGAACAAAATCACTTCAATCGTAGTTCCGACAAGTATCACCTTAGCCAGACTTGTTCTACGATTAAAGGACGAACTTAGTATTCTTGATTTCCACACTCAAGTTGAATTGAAGTGCAAAGTCTCGAACACAAATATACCCCATTCTGAAATATACGAAGATGAAGATTTAAATTGATACATATCAGTTCATAAGAAAACTGTTATATGCGTTACAATTTTGGAAAACGAGTTTCTAATTGTTTATATGGGAATGGATGCAAATTTTCAAAATCCTTCATTTGTTGCATGGGAAGTTTACCGAAACGTACAACATGATGAGATCGATCAAATGTAAAGTATCTCAAATAATAATGTACCCGAGCATTAATTTTTGGTATTGAGGCAGCACCATTGATGAGAACTTGGATAACTCGTTATATGGCACAGAGGCTGCTAATATTGTTGACAGTGATGAGCAAATGTCATCACATTTCAGGAGTTCAAATATATATAAAAGGATTAAAATTGTAAATACATTCGATTTTGTCGAAAAACAAATATTCTTGAGCAAGAAAGAGTTGCACTAAAAAATTTGTGTATTTGCTTTGCAAGACAAGTTCCAATTTCGAGTAAATTGGTTAAGCTTCAAGATGCTATCATTGTATACGTGGATGATACTTGTAAGTGGATGTTACGTGCTTCCACAGTGAAGCAGTCTGCAATCTTTATGATCCTTAAATTTCGACAATATGTACATATGTTCCATAGTTTCATTTTGTAGTTGTGATAATTAGTGATTATGAGTACTTTCTGATCTTAAATGTAGCACTTATCTGAAGAACATATTCGTTCCTATTAGGGAATATTCAAGATGAAAAAATATCCGTTACATATGTTAGAACAAGAAGAGCAATCGTCCTGAGGTATTTTGATATTAAAACTTCTTATAATCATAATTCGATCAAGCGATCCAATTTTACTATGTGCTTATCAAACAAACCAACAAATATATTAAAGACAAAGAGAAACCAATCCTCTAAAAAAATAAAATTCGTGCAGTGAAAGCAATGGCCACGGATTCTCACAAGCTACATGATTGCAAAAAAGTTTTCACTTAATCGATTTCTAAGTAGATAATGGAAGAAGCATTCTTCGCTTCTTTTTCTGTGCCAGTCTATCATGCTTTTATAATTTTCATGCATAAAAATATTAGCATTGTAATTGTTGCATGTTGTCACACTTGTCCTATCCACCTGGGCCAGTAGGCCACTCATCCTGATCCACGCGGCATTCCTGCCGAGGTGGCCCACATTGCCGAGGTGGGTTACACCCGAACTGCTTCTAACCGAGGCCCATGTCCCGAGGCATGGAAGGTTCTGTTGTAGCTGAGGTCCTCGAATGGACGAAGCCCCGAAGTTGATGCGCGAGCCTCAACCACAAGGAAACATCCTCCATGGTCACTTCTCCCAAGGGATCCCCTGCATAGATCTTATTCGAATGATTGATGGAATGTTTGTCATAAGCATAAAGGTCAAGTCTTGTCACTAGCACGGAGGTCCTGCACAAACAATAAATGCGCCGTAAGCTAGCAAGTCAAATCCCATACCTATGAACAGACATTTAAACTATGGAGATGAGGCCACGTGCCACTTCATCCAAGGGTCCCCATTCCATATGTATCACTATAAATACCCCCATTGTATAGTGTCAAAGGGCTAATGCGAGAATCAATACTAAAGACTACATTTACTCAACTCTCTCATCTTACCTGCAATACACAAATCGAGTTTATACACTTTTACTTATACACTTACGAGCACCGGTTGGTAATTATTTTACAATCGGATCATGAATTACTCGCCGGATTCCGAACGTCACCGTCCCGCGTCGTTGGGCTACTCCCACGCCCATTTGAACCGCTTATTATAGACCGTCCACGTGTCTTAGCATGTTGGACATTCGCCCACGCAAGCGCGGGTGGGACCGGCATCTGTTGGCGCACTTTTTGGGGTCAACAGTAATAAATATCAAAATAAGAACAAGCCTCAAATATCTACAATGTAAAGAAACGGCAGAAAAAATGAGGAACGGTAAAATGATAAGTTCCTATATCATAAAGATAACATCTACCCTACATCCAGTAAACACAACATATGAGAGACGATAATTCCGAGAGATGCATAAGCACAGATATATACAATCACTAAATCGTGTTTATAATCAAATTCTTGAAGGGAAACAACTATGGTTATCAAAATTTTCCAATACTGTTTTCATGAACTTGAAATTATTCCTTTGAGAAATGTGGGAGTGCAAGCATGCATTTTCGAGAACTATGGATTTAAAATTCATCTGCAAGGACAATGTACAACAAGAAAACAAAAAATGTCATTCTAATAATTTGTATATATTAATGCAAAACACACATATACTGTTCAAATGAATCAAAGTTGGATTTGTCGACAGCTAATTGCAAAAATGATCTATGGAAAAGTAGTTGTCTGTCGAGAAATACCGACTTTAACCGTTGAGAATGATAGATCAGTTGAGTTATCTCATATCGATAGATAACTCAACTGATATGTCAAGATTTAGTCAACAGAGATAAATGAGCGCATATGCACAAATACAACACAAGCATATGAAACCATAACCTTGATGACTTTAAATTAATTAACTTTTGATACGGAAGTCAGAAAATGCAAAAGTTAAAAAAACGTGTTGCAGACATATAGCTTACAATTTGATGTGGAAGAAGTTCTGAAAAGTTGTAAATGTTTTCCCCCAACAATGTCGATAGGGACAAATCAAATGCCAAATCCTGTAAACAACAAAATAATAGTTAGCCTAACATGTGAAGTAGAAAAGCCAATATATTATACCATCAAAGAGGATTTTGTAAAAGATATCTGAGGTTGAATGTGATTAACTATCCATTGATATAGAGTATTTCATGGATTGTAAATTATTATGACAAGCACCATAAATAAATAAATAAATAAATAAGAGCCAAATCATATAATCAAGATATCGTCGAAAATATTTACAAATTTGAATTCTAGACAATTAACACACATACCTTGCTCTCGAAATTCATCTACAAGAATAGGGAACATGTGGAAAGCAAAAAAGTCAGACGATGATATTTCATACGTTTTATTTCAAAACACACATGGAATGTTCAACTTGTCCGACTTGGTCATATCGACAGATTATTCGGTAACGAATCTTTGGAGAATTACTGAGAATAAATGTCAAGAACGATATTTCATTTCAACAGATGATTCCATAACTATTGAGATTGACATTTACATTTGTCATTCAATTTGGTGTTCCAAGACATAATGGTCAGGTTTTGACAAACTTGATTAGTGTAAATATAAAACTAAAATCCAAATGATATTAACAAATATCACACAACCCCAAGAATATATCAAACCCAAAAAACTTAGAAAAAAATAAAAAGAAA